AATGATTTGTGGTGATAAAGGGGAATGTCAAATTCCTGCCAAACAACTGGCGACTCCAGCCTGTTCGGGACAAAGAGACGATAACCATAAAGGATTAAATGCTAGGCACGAAATTCATAAGGAATAAATGTCTGAGAGTACGTCTTATTGGTCGCCCGAAACTGTCTTGGAAAATTATATCGATAATCGATAAAAATTTTTTTACTGTATTTATATTATATATGATCCCGAAAATAACAAATTTCCTTTTTTGGTAATACACAAAAAACATCCAAAGAAATACCAAAGAAAGTACTAAAGGAAAACCTTTACTAAAAAAAAATATTCTACTATTTCTCTTCAAGACCAAAGTAAGATGCATAGAACAGATATATATTAAACTTAAAAGAACACTAACTTATTTTTTTAATTTCTATACAAACAGATATATACTTGTTTTTTTTTACTGAAAAAGAAAAAAAAACAAGAAATACAATTTATAATTAAATAAAGAAAAAAGTTAACATCTCACTTTACAAGCTATCAATCAATTATATGTTAAATTAAATATTTCTCTAGACACTAGCAAAACTTTATATAATCAGATTATATCTAATAAATTAGACAATCTTGTTATTAATATAAAATTAAAAAAATATTAAGACTTTCTCAATACTATAATTAAAAAAAAAAAATAAATCAAAACAATCTTACAATATAAACAATAATTATTATATGAGTAAATTTTTTTTTGAAATCAAAAAATCAAAATTGACTTATTTATTCTAAAGATCAATGGTAATATAAACATATACTTATTATATTAAAACAAAAATATTTAATATCAAAAAAATAAACAAATATCAAAAAACTAAGAATTCTAATGATTCTGTGTTCGATTCCATTTGATTTCAACTCTTATAGTAAATTTAATAGGTGGATTATAACCCACTTATGTTTTTTATATATATGTGAGTCCATGTGAGTTTATATGATTCCAATTTTTGGAACCATACAAAAAACATATCCTAATATTAATTCAATATAACAATATATCAATATATCAAACAATATATATATTAATATATCAAACAATATATATATTGTTGGGGATGATGCTGAAATTCATGTGATATATATTATATAATAAGTAGTAGATTTTTTAAAATTTTCAAATTTTATATAAAAACAAAAAAAAAAATATGCCAGTGATTTCAAAAATTCCAGAAACTTTGGAAGAATATCAAATAATCATTAAATATTTTCAGTCAAAAACTATATCAAATGATATTCAACAAGATTCCACAAAAAAATTCAATTTTATTCATTATTACAAAAAATTTGAAGTTGATGAAAATAATTTTCTTTATGTTAAGCCAATTATGAAAGATGATATAATATTGGAAAAACGTCGTATAATCCCTAAATATGATGAAGAGATACATGCTTTAATTTTGGAACATTTTCATGATTAAGCAAATCATCGGGAGTATCACAAGACTTTCTCTGCAATTTCAAAAAAACATATTAGAATTACACAAAAGGAAGTAAGAACATATGTAAATCAATGCACTACTTGTACCATAACTACTTCTATCAAAGAAAAAACTGATATAAAGAATATAATATCAACAGTACCATGGCAGCATATTCAAATTGATCTAATCGATTTCTGAGATTTTGCTAAAGTCAATAATGATTTTGCATGACTACTTACATGTATTTGTATGTTTTCTAAATTTCTGATTGCAGTTCCTATAAAGAATAAGGAAGCAAGCACAGTCACAACACATCTTCTAAAAGATGTTTTCAAAGTTCTTGAATCCTCATGATTATTCAAAGTGACAATGGTAAAAAGTTTATTGCAAGAATTATTACTGAAATTTGTGAAGCTCTTAATATTACAATCAGGTATGATAGGCCTCGCCATCCACAGTCACAAAGTCAAATTGAGTGACTTAACCAGACAATGGGCTGTGGTTTTACTAAATTGTTGTGGGATCAAAATAACCAGTTACAGAGAAAAGACTGGATTAATGTAATTGACATGTTTATTATGTCATATAATTCAACTGTCCACAAAGCACATGGCTGTATTCCACACGAAGCAATTTTCGGATAGAAAATGCATTGTGTATATGATACATCTGGTCTATATCATTTTTAATATAAAACTTAAAATTTGGAATTGATTTTATTTTTTATATTATAATAGTTACTAAACATACAATTTTTTTTGCTTATAACAGATTTCTCCAGAACTATCGCCGTTTCTGAAACTTTCATCTCTAAGACCATCAACACCACCTTTAAGACCATCACCACCACCTCTAAGACCATCACCACCACCTCTAAGACCATCACCACCACCTCTAAGACCATCACCACCACCTCTAAGACCATTACCACCACCTCTAAGATCACTGTTTTTGAAACCACTACCTCCGAAACTATAACAGATGAAGCTGCTATGGAACAATGCATTTCACATATATTCAAAATTCACCAATCCATAAATGTTTCACTTGAAAAGTATCGTAAAAAGTTAGGTCATAATAATATGTATAGAAAGAAAACGGCAAATAATACAATTGAAACTGAAACTGAAGTTGCTATTGCGCCTAATCATGATATGAATCAATAAACTCACAAGAGAAAGTTGCAACTGACCTTTTCAGAATGAGGTGTTTTTAAGTCCCTCAAGTCCAATAATTATACTGCAATTGTTGAAGTGAATGGCAAAGATGTTCAAATTCCTGTCAAACAGGTCCGGGCTATAAAGAAAAAATTGTAATCGATTTTTAGAAAATTTTTTTTTTTTTTTAGAAATATTTTTTTTTTTTAAAAAAAAATATGAATTGAAAGATCAGTTACGGAAATGTGTTAGTTTAGGATCACAATTAGAATTAGATTAGGTTGGATTATAATGGAAACAAAAAAAGTTTTTCAAATCTTTTTTTTTATTATAGTAAAATCATTGATGTTCTGCGAAATGATAATAGCATTATGGATTTTTTTTATTATAATAAAATTATTGATATTCTGTGAAATGATAATAGCATTACAGATCATACATCAATTAAGTAACATTTAATTTTGTAATTACGGTTTTATGGATTTAAGCCAAACTTCCCATCCGACAATATCTTCAACACGGATCGGCCAATGAATGACCTTAACGCAGGTATGGGTATTATGTTGAGCGCCATCAATTTTAGGGCTAGTTCATTTGGCAGGTGAGTTATTACACACTCCTTAGTGAATTCTCATTTCAATAACCACCGTTCTGCTGTCTAAGTGTGAATTCTGGTACCTTAATCTCACGTTCGGATATTTGATTGGTTATATGTGATTCAGAAATCTGCTGCTTATCATGTGACATATATATCACGTGAATTTCAGTATCATCCAATTTCAGCATCATCCAATTTCAGCATCATTCCCGACAATAAATAACAATAAAACAATAAAATAAATAAAAAAAGAAATCAAAAATAATAAATCATAGTGAAACTATTACATAATATATTATTATTTTTTGTTATCATATTACATAATTTATTAATCTTGACAAGCAAAGACAGATCATGTGTCTTAGCCCAATCTTTCTTTGATTATTTTATATTTCTCTATTACAGTATTTCATACTTCATGTATGCTGTTTATTGTTTTGACATGTTTTGTTCCTGTTATAATATGTGATACTTCTTAGTGATCGTTGTTAGTGCCAATATATGGGTTAGGTCTCGGCAGGCTTAACATGCAGGTGTGTTTTTCCCTTGGTAACATAAGTATCAACCAATAAAAATTAAGGATTTTGTTTGCTAATCAAACGGTTTGCCAGCCTTATTTGATCATCATTCTTACGCGTTTTTATCACTTTTCTCAACTCAATTTCGGAACGTACAACCAAAACCATGACTACCGACTCTTTTATGGCTTTTTACCACGTCACCGCCATCGAGGACTGGACGTGCGTTAATTTAGTAGAGATTTATCGTACGAAATTGAAGCCAAAAGAAAGGGAAAGGATGAGAATACTGGATTATATAAAAAAGGATCTTCAAAAGATTGTTGATTTGGTTTCTGAGTTTGACGAGACGCGTAGAAGAAGAGCTCAAGAAATTCTTGATAATTGGAAAGTATGCTCATTATTAATATTAGTACAACGAGTTAAAAGCTTAGTCCAACAGTGATGAATTCTTAGTTCGACGCTTAGTGCAAGCTGGGACTCTTAGTCTCCAGTGATGAATTCTTAGTTCGACGCTTAGTGCAAGCTGGGACTCTTAGTCTGAAGGATAGCTTTAGCTCGATACTTTATTTTCTATATTATTGTTGTGAAATGATTCTTTAAGTATTCTATATTTTGTTAAAGGGATGGTGTACACAAATGAATAGGGATAAATTGAAATCCTCCAATGTACTGCAGGTAGGCTTCTAATCAGAAAATTTTTATAGGACAAAAAGATTAATTAACGTTTTCATCAATTAGGTAAAGAAGATTAAGCAATTTAACAACTTAACCGGGAATTTCGCAACCCAGAACTTCGACAATCGACGTGTAATTTCGAGAAAACATCCTCGAGATGCAGATGGTAAAGAGAATACCGAAGGAGCTATGACTCTGACGAAGAAGGTGAGGTTACGAACGATTTTTCAATGTTGCCTTAGGTAACAATTAGGTCACTAATATGTTTAATGCTTAGAACAAAGTGACTACTAACGACATTGTACAAGGGCAATCAGAAACATCAGAAACTGAAGTATGAGAAATATTATACAATACGTTCTTTTCCTTTACTGCATATTTTACACCTACACATTCATTATATAGGTTGCAAAGAAAAATAATAAAACTGATGAACTTTTCCAATATATGAGAAAACGTAATATATATGTGCTATGTGGGCAATTTAGAAAATTGTCAGAACTGGATGCGGAGGACCGGTTTGAGAAAATTGTTCATGACACTACCGTTAAAATCGATATTCCCAAAGATATCAAAGAATATCTTCACGATTTGCTCAGTGGGGATATTGAAAGTGCGTTGTCAAAAGTAAAAGAGCCACTCAGTAAGGACGCGCGACCATTACTGTTATGGACAAATGAAGTTTGCCGGCACTTTATTTTTTACTTCTATTATGGCGGTTTACAGATAGACGGTGACGAAAAAACTTGGTCCAACCAAACAGTCTATCGCATTCTTGATTTATTTTCGATGTTTTTTGGAAAATTGACGTCAGGAATTGCCTTGTAAGTTTTTAATTTTTGAACTTTTGCTTTATGATAATTTGACACTATTTTGGCCTTTAGTGGAGAAATTGTAAACGAAGCGCACAAAGATAGAATTTATACCACAAATGTTGATCAAAAACAGTCAAATTCAAAGAGAGGTGACAAGAACGATGCTGTCTTATATCAGGATGATAATGCTACAGTTATATATGAACAGTCCTTTGGGCCTACAGAATTTGATTCAACACATTATATGGGAGATATAACGAAATTAGCGCGTAACGGAGTAGATGATCTAAATTATCACTTCTTGCAGTATGGAAAATCTTCCGTAACAACGGCGAAAAAACTCAAATCCATCGGCATCCATGGATATAGTATGTGTTTTCCTTTTGTTTTTGAATGAATGGGGTTTATTGTTAAGGCTTACCTAACTTATATGCTTTTAGAATATTCTATATCAATCTACCTCACGGATCTCATTTGTAGGAAACTGTATAGAACATATGAAATATTTAATTGTAAAATTCCAACATCATATACGGATCGATGGTTTCTAGCTAAGATTGCAAAGATAGGCGTCTATTTTGAGGTATTTCTTTTACCAGACATAAAATGTATCTCATTTACTATTACTTATCGCGGGGTTTATTCACTATTATAGGCACTGCTCGCGGAACGACAATCTGTGAAGGGAAAAATGGGCGGAGAAGACATGATCAATGAAGATGGTTCTGATTGTGTGCGCGATTGGATATCAGTTCAGGATAACACTCCTGAAACAAAAAGAACAAGGTGCTCACAAAAACAATAACTTTTTCTATAAACATTTTTTGTATTGAACTTATTTGTGTCAAGTGAAGACTGAATTCAACGAAAAAATAAAGTTTAGTCGCAGTTAATATTTCAAGTACATGTTTTGCAAAGGCAACATAAGACACATGAAGGCTAAGGATCTGATATCCAATGTTGAATAATAATATAGCATAGATAATCTCACTTTTAATACAAGGTTGCTTTATAACTGGAATATAAAAAAATTGTCTATATAATTATTTCATAATTATATAATGGATTGTATCAAAATAAAAGATTTTGTATACAAATATATATATTAATGCATAAAAGATTATAATCTATTATGGAACAGATTGATCAATCCAAAGTATCTTTAAAATATAACATATAAAATCTTTTGTTTAAATTTGCTATTCTGTAATTAACATAATCAAAAAATTACAATTATATAGTTGAATTGTGATTAAATTATGATAATTATGAGTAAGGATCCTAACAATTCTGTGTTTGATTCTATTCGATTCCAACTCTTATAGTAAATTTAATAGGTGGATTATAACTCATTTATGTTTTTTATATGTATGCGAGTCCATGCAAGTCTATGCGATTCCAATTTTTGGGACCATAATTATGAGCTAATCAAAATAATACTTTTTCTATATACAGTTAAACCTTTATATCAATACAAGTAACACCAGCCATTTGTATCAGTATAATAAATTTATTGATATAATCAATAGCTTTCTTTATAATAATATAGTATTGTTTATAAAAATGCACCATTCAAGAAATATAGTAAAAAGAATTCAAAAACTATATTAAATTCTTGAATGTATCTAGCTATCTAGAAATAATTTGATTACTTAAACACATGAAGGTACTACAGCCATTTTACACAGGTTGACTTTCAAGTCATAGTTAGTATTGGTACACTTTTTACTTTTCAAATATGACTTGATATATAGTAAAATAGAGTTAGTTATAAAGACAGTAATATCAAATTGTTGTTACTTTAATATATAAAGGTGCTGTAGTTACTTTATACAGGTTGACCTTCAAGTCACAAAAAGGATTTGGCATATTTATTATTCAAATATGATAAAAGTATCCAATAAATAAAGTTGAATTGAATTTTTTTATAGATATTGATACCTAGCCTTGCATATGAGACCTATATTGTTGAGAGATAAGTAAGAAATTTTTGTTATCATTATTAGCTCTGTTTGTAGGGATAACTATAATCCCTAATTATTATATATTATTTTACTAGATTTTCAAATCACTAGAATAATATTTGTAGAAAGTTTACTTTGATATAGGTTGCCATTTTGCTCTGAATCCCATGAAGTACAACACCTTAAGAATTTGGATAATAATAGTTGCACAATAGTTTTTTAGATATATTTAGTTTAACCATCAATAAGTAAATAATATCAGATTGATAGTAATGGTTGTGTCGATTTTTTGGAGAATAAACCATCTGTTCTTTTTTTAAAAAATTGTGAAAGAGAGAATTTATCAAAATCCACTTCTTAATATGGTTCCTGAGAAAAGAAAGTCAACTGGTCAGAGAAGTAATAAGATAAAGTATAATGTTTTAGAAAAAAAGAAAGGCTTAAAGAAAAAAAACTTTAAAAGAAAGAAAAAAACTTAATTTTGATAGAAAAAAAGAAAAAAAAAAAAAAGTAAAGTAAAGAAGTATAGATAAAAGAGTAAAGAAGTAAAAAGAAAAAAAAATAAAAGATATAAAATCAAGAGAGAAAAAAAAGAAAAACAAAAAGCAAAAAAAATATAAACAACTCAAAAAGTTTTCTAAAAAGAAAATTTTTAAATATAAAGAAGAAAGTAAAAAAAAGTTTTTTTAAAAAAAATTATTTATTTATATATAGTTTGTTTAAAAATTTTTAATTTATATTTATATTTATTATTCAATAAATATTTTATAAAATAAAAAAAAATTTAAATATATAATAATAACAATATAAAAAACAAATTTACTTATAGATTTTTATTAATATAATATTAAATTTTATTAAAATTAATTAATAATTAAAAAAAATTTTTTTTTGAATATTAATTAAATTAAATTATAATAAATAATCAAATAAATTATATATAATAATAATAAGTTTTTTAAAAAATTTTTTTAATTTAATATAGTCAAACTTGGATATAATGAAGCCTTTAGACTAATTAGTAAAAATTTATATAATAAAATTCTCTTTTTATAATGAATTTTAAATAAAATTCAAAATTCAAAAATTTATTATAGCCAGCATTTTATTATAGCTTCATTATAAACAGGTTTATTATATTCAGGTTTGACTGTATTATATTATTTATTTTTTATAAATAATAATTTAATAATAAATATATTTTATTAAAAAATAATCAAATATTTAATAATTATTTTTTTATAGATAAATATATATATAGAGAGTGAAAAAAGTTTATAAACAACTTTTTTTTTTTTTAATAAAATTTATTTTAAAAACTAATTAAACTTTTTAATAAAAATATATTCAATATACAGTATATATTGTATATAATGTATTCAATTTATAAAAAAGTATTATATATATATATATATATTTGTTTACTTAAAAATTTCACTTCAATTTTTATGTAACCATTAATACCTACTAATAAAGAATTAACTTTTGAACAAAAAGTAACTATAATTTATTAAGGATCTTAATAATTCTGTATTCGATTTCATTTGATTCCAGCTCTTATAGTAAATTTAATAGATGGATTATAACTTATTTATATTTTTTATATATATGCAAGTCCATGCAAGTCTATGCAATTCCAATTTTCAGAACCATATAATTTATAGTTATAAAAAAAAAGATACATAGTCAATTTCTACACCTTTTTTTTGGATTTTTTCTGCTTCCAGTGATCATTATAACACCAACTGGATGATCATCATGCCACAACACCTTTTCTGGAGATCACAATCTTAACGCCTATCGGATTGGCATGTGAATAGGCTTCTTATAAGAAATGGCACTTTAGCAGATCATGGTGCCAGATACCATATTAATTTTATTCAAACCACCTTCACCTAGGTTTGAACTGGTATCTTGTGATCTGGACCTGGGAGCACTGACCACTGTGCTATAGACCCACAGGTCATACTGTATTTTATATATTAATTATTATTTTATATTATTATTATTTAAGTTATTTAACATTTTAATTTACAATTTATATAAGTTAATTAAGCAAAATATAATAAAATTTAAAAACACAAGCAATATTATTTTATTTAAATAAAGAATTTATTGTAAATTAAATAAAAGTAATAAAAGTTTAAAGACAAAAAAATAATATAGAAATATTCTTAGTAATAAATAGTTGTCATTATAATAAATTACTATATTCATATTTTTGATTGGCTAGCGCATATATGTATCCTTTCTATTATACGTGTATGATGTAAGATATACGCGTGTTACGATGAACAAGATTTGACGCGTATTTCTAATATAAATAGGTAGCTTTCATGTAAAATGTTTCAACTTACTTTTCCTCTATTCCTTTCTTTAAAAGACCTTATTTATCCCTTTTCTTTCTTAGGCTAAAAAAAGAACCCCTCGGAAGCCCCTTTGTCGAGTCTATGATGTCTGCTGATTCTAACGAGGAGTCAGTCGTGTTTCAAGAAGCGACCGGTTTCAAGAAACGACACATAGGCAAGTGGCGTTATAACGTTGTATTTCCGGGTTCGTCGTGACTAT